AATGGTTTGTCCTCCGCGTAGAGAGTTGGTTTCTTCGTCGCCACTTGTTATACTGTGGCGAACGAATTTTTTTTTTTTCTTCCACCGAATGAATTCGAATCTTTGACTTGAACTACTGACTCGTTGCCTACTCCTGAGGCGCAGTATTTATTAAGTATGGAATAGTCCATTATTATTATTATTATGGATAAGATCCCATAACACATGGGATATTTAATTTGATGAAAAACTGTTTTAAGAAAAAGACTGTATAAATTTTGACCGAGATAAACACTAGCTGTTCGGACAATGAATGTCGAATATTTCCTTATAAGGAAACAGCGAATATCAACATTACAATCATCATTACAGCTGCAAAGTTTATGGATAAACAAATGTTTTGACTCCAATTAAATCAGTGATTCACCAAATCGGCGGTACTGTTCACACTGGGTTCGGTGGAAAGATCCAGGCGGCCGTGAGAAAAAAAAGTGGCAGACAGAGTATGGCAGTGGTATATCTGAACCAGAACATACACCAGACACACACCCATTGTATCTGAAGTGTGTCGTGGCTTCACATTACAGTGTGTCCCAGTTATATAACAATTATTATAAGAAGATACTCATTGGACAGGTGAGATGTGACGAGCCTCTTACTGCTCTGTTGCTACTACCTTGGAAAGTGCTCGGAAGAACTAAATTCTTTGGTTCCACTAGGTCAAACCTGCACGGCTAGGACCCACCATGTCACTTATATAGTAGCAAACTATCCACATTCCCTCTGTATTACATCGGCGAGAAATAAGTTCCACTCGAACAGCTTCTTCCTGCGAACCACTGCTCTGTGGAACTGACTTCCAAGTGGATTTTTCCCCGATCACTATAATCTTTTCTTGTTCAAACCTAAGATTAACTGTTATATTCCTTTTTCTAGCCGTAGAAACCGGCTCTTAATGTAACCCTCTACGTCGAGTGTCTCTCGAGCCTTGTACAGGGATAACCCTACTGTTAAAAAAAAGTAAAAATAACGAACCCAACTATCCATTACACCAGCCGTACACCCACGCATGTTTGTCTGTGTGTGTGTGTGTGTGTGTATACGTGTGTGTGTGTGTGTGATGATGATTTTGACTTCACAAAAATAATGGATGACGCTCATATAGACATTTACATTTGTTCCGCTTACTTCATGCAACATTAGACAAAAGTGATTTACTAAGCGTAACTTAGAACATGGGACAAAGCTGAAAGTATGGAGGATGAAACTTACTATTCATTCGTAATTGTTTAAGCGATACATGTCTAGTTAACCGTTATCTTCCCTCCCTATCCATATCAAGCATCGCTTAACATAAGCTTCTACCTCGAGTGGCCCCGGGCCTTTTGAAGGGTGAATCTTAAAAAAAACAAAAAAAAAAAACATGCAATACTAGCACCAAGAAAATCCAGTCAAAGGTTGGCTATACATCAGGGAGGCGTTAGGGTTGTGTTTTCTTATACAAAGGGGCATCCATCCCCCAAAAGTTCGAGAACCACTGAATTAAATGATACAGATGTCTCTTAAAACGCAGAAAATTAAAAAAAAAAAGAAAAAAAAAGAAAGGAAAAAAAACTTTTCTGCAGTGGAATTTTCATCAATCCTAATCATCAACAAGCATTTTCAGTTAAAAATAAATTTAAATTTATTTATAAAATAAGCAGTTGTTTTAGTTTAAATAGAACAACATAAGGAAATCTTAGAAATTTTCCCGAAAGGTCAAAATGAATGCTAATCATTTTCGTTTCTATGGCAACAGGAAACAGTGTTAGCGCATCATCAGGGAATAGTTAACAATCTATTTTATATCCAGTGTTTTCTTCTTCCTTTATGTAACGTGTCCCTTTAGGATTTTGGCGATCATGGCGCTACACAATTTCCTGTTTCTTAAAATTTTTTGTCTTTTTCATATCTCTCCCAAAACCTGCTCCGTCATCCATTCACTTAAGCTCGCCACGTCGGTTATGCGTTGTCTTCCTTTGTCCCACTGACCTTCAAACCTTTTTGTGAGTATCAAATTTTACAAGCCTTCTTTCCTCATTATGGGCACTAGAAATTTGAACTGTCTTTTTCTGATGTTAAGTAGAAGTGTCTTTGTTTCCATTGTCGCTAAAACTTCGTCGTTCGTGTTCGATCCATTGTAGTCTCAGCATCTTTCTGTAGAACTACATTTCTGTTGTTACAAGTCAATTCTTCATCTGTGACTAAATTGTCCATCATTCACTACCATATAGAACAGGGTTTCACAAACCTATGGTTACGACCCAATTAAGGGTCACAAGGGTTTTCTGAGGGTAGCAGATGGTCTCGTAAAAATGTGTAATTTACGATATTTTATTACAATACAGAGAGTCGGAATTTAATCGTACGAAGTAAAATTTGGAATAACACGAAAAGGTTTGTACGCAGGTAGGCTTGAGGCACATTTATTACCTTAATTCCGAACAGATAATTAAATATTAAATGTATGAATTTCGAACCAGTAAGATTCATTCACGCCTGAATAAAAGTAAGTTTTCTGTGATCTAATTCTTATCTGTCCGGGTTCTATAAAACACAGACAATTCTAAAACGTCCAGGGCTTTAAACTCCCATATTTCCATAAATATGTGTAATGAAAGGGGATCACATCGCCAACACTTGCTGTTTCACTTTGATGTCCGTTGGCTATCTCGAGGAAAGATTCTTGTAAGAGTTATTGAATTAAAAACTGAAACTGAAATATTTCTGTAAAAGAAAAAACATGCACTTTCATACTGCTTTTAAAATATTGCTTGGCTGGCAAATGTTGCTTATTTGGGCGACATATTCATACACCTGAATGAACTGAATTCAGACATGTAGGGCCAAAATCATACCATGGCAGACATTGCGGAAAAAAATTGTCACATTCAAGAAAAAAAAAATTGCCCTTTGGAGAGAAAGGTTAGCGAAAGGAAAAACTGCAGCTTTTCCAGAACTAAATTCTATTTTAGAAGATTCATCAGAAATATCTTATTGACATCAAAAACATTTTTGAAGATCATTTGAAAAATCTTCAAGAAGAAATGGACAAGTATTTTTCAGAAAATGTTGACATAAAGAAGCATATCTGGATCAGAAATGTTTTCAGTATGAACGTCAATGAAGTTGGTAAAGATATCCCATGGTTTCAAGAAGAATTTATAGACCTCGAAAAAATCAAGAATAGAAACCAATCTTTAAAAGTCTTACGTATACAGAATTTTGGATTTAGCTAAATGATAAGTCATTTCTGACAAAGGAGGCTGGAAAAGCTTTTCTCCCTTTTTCAACAACATATCTCTGTGAACAAGTGTTTTCAACTCTTGTTACGATCAAGGTTAGAGCAAGTAATCACTTAGATCTCCAGCATGACTTGCGTTGTGCGCTCAACATCAAACCCAACTTAGATCTCTCTCACAAATGAAGCAGTTCCATGTTAGTCACTGAAAAGAAAAATGGTAACTTTTGACTACCAATTCATCTAATAAACTTTTTTCATGAAAATTTGATTTTTTTAAATTTTTCATTAAAAAACATTGTGTTAGCAATATGAATTTATTATTATTCATCACATTTATTGACAGTTGCATAAATTGTAAATAAATGGGATGAATTAAAATTAATTATCTCATTTTGTAATTACAGTGCAGATATGCCAAATTTTTGGCTGTTTTTTACACCCCCAAGAATTAAAATTTCAGATAACACCAGAATTATGAATGAAACTCAGTATATTTTTGTATATATTAATAAGAGGAAAAATTAAAAAAAGTCCCATGTAAAATTTACTTGTTTTACAGTTTATAAAAATAGTAAATTTTTAATTTGAAATTTCAGCGGAAGCTATTTTCCCTTAGTATTTTTCGAAAATCCGCCCAAAATCAAATAATTAGCCCATTTTAATATTTTTCAGAACATATTATATATATATATATATATATATATATATATATGTGTGTGTGTGTGTGTGTGTGTGCGTGTGTGTGAAAAGTGTATATAAATATAAATAAATATATATATGTATAATTATTTATATATTATATGCATTACTTATTAAAAGCGCTCAATATCAGAGATAGAGCTAACATATTTGGTTGGATAGATGTGAGTTTGTGACCCTGGGTTTCACGCCTTAGCGTTTGTCTGACGATCGCTAAAGCGTGAAACCTAGGTCAGGGTCTATCAACCAAATATATATATATATATATATATATATATATATATATATATATATATATATATATATATATATATATATATATATATATATAAAAAAAATAAAAAAAAAATGAAAAAAATATTTTTGTTTATGGCTTTTTAAACATCCGACGCCACACACCACACACTCCCCCACCGCGGACTCCAAGAACCGGCATATCAATTTTGAAAATTCAAACTGGAAAACTTTGTTCATGGTATTTTCTTCAAAGTCTAAAAGCGGAACCGCTGCTCAGTGGTTATTTCTATTTTTACCATTTTTTAAAAGGGAGGGGACAAAAATTCTGAAAAAAATTACGATATAAACGATTGTAAAATATCATGAAACATTTTATATAAGTCCTGGAAAAATTACGAAAATCGGGTTATTATTTGATTTTTGGTGGATTTTCGAAAAATACTGGTGATTCAATCGTAATGAAATAATTATTTCCGCTGAAAGTTTAAAATTTTAAATTAAAAATATCACGTTTAAAAGCTTGGAAAAAAGATATCAAAAACAAAGGGAATTTTTACATGAATTTTGTGAAACGAATTTGTGCGTCGAAAACATGGGAGCTACTAATCGCACAAAAAAGGCCTTTCATGAAAGACGTAAATATTGATGTGTATAGACAAGAATTGGGCAAAATGTCAGCAATAACTTGTTATTTATTAAGTTTTGTCCTGCGGGAATCCATAGTAGGGAACTAGAGGTGAGAACTGAGTATGCTAAACGAGCGAATGATCTGCGAGACGAGTTTCCAAATTACTCCATCGACTTACGACCATAGCACGATGAAGCACCGATTCCCGTACGATTACTAATGTTAAGCAAGGTCGATACTGATGAGTACCTAGATGGGGGACCGTTTGGGAATGCTAGTTTCTCTAAGCTTGAATGTGTTAGTGGTGTAATGGATAACGGCTTGGAATTGGAAATCCATGAGCCGAGTTCCAATTCCAGTCGGGTTCGTTATATTGACTTACGCGCGAATAAACGCGGGAAGTTATAAATTTAACTCTTCTCCCTCCAGGTATGGGTTAATTAGTCGTACTTCTATCAGTAAATTATTATCTCAAAAATTCCGTACACTGTAAAATATTTTTTGACTTTAAATAACCTGCAAAAGGTTGATAAACCGTAAAAAAATAAAATAATCATAATAATACATCTTCACCAATTATGCATACTGGGTGTCTTGGGGCATTCAAATTTTTAATTATAGTACAGTGTAACCCGGATATAAGAGACCCGAATATAAGAGAAACCCAGATACAAGAGAGATTTTCTCTGGTCCCAAATTAGAGCCTGTGTTAATGTATATAAAATAGACCAAACCCGGATATAAGAGAAACCCGGATATAAGAGACTTCTTCTCCGGTCCCGATAACTCTCTTATATCCGGGTTACACTGTAGTTTCGTTAAAAATTAATAAGAGTTCGTGTTAAGGATTTATTTCTGTATTTTCTATATTTATATTTTCCGAAATAGATTCCAGTGAGATTTTGCATGTTCGGAAAATAATTACGTTCTTCCTGGAAGAATATTAAAAAATATACGTTACTTGTATTTAGATATTTATAATTAAGAAATTCATCGAGTCTATAAGAATCCTCAATATAATGCAGAAATCACTGAACGGCCGTTTCGTCCTATTTTGGGATTCATCAACAATGCGTATCCACTACCGAGAATCGAACCCGGACCGTTATGATACGACGCAAGCGTCATACCCATTGGACCGGTGGACATTGATGAAGAACAGGTAACTAACTAGACATAGCGTCATCACTTCACAAATTCCGTCGTGTAACTCATCCACTGGACTGTGTCCCCACGAGTCACGTCTTCTATCCCTAAGCCGCTCCATTCAAATCATTGGAAGCCGGTTCAAGCAAGGATATACAAATGATAGAAATTATTCGGGGGATTTGAATAATCATAATTAAGTAATTCATCGAGTCTAAAAGAATCTTCAATAGAATGCAGAAAACACTGGACGGCCGTTTCGTCCTATTTTGGGACTCATCAGCAGTTAGCATGCACTACCGAGAATAGAACCCGGACCGTTACGATACGACACAAGCGTCATACCCAACTGGAGTCGATGGAGTCTCCCCACTAAGGCGAGTTGTGACACAAAGTCAGTTTTTAAGGTGGGAACCCGAACGCGTACACCCAAGCTAGGCACAAAAATTGCCCGCTGCCTCCGTAACCGCCGGTTGCGCTAGCCTCGTTGCGAGCACCGATCCCTCTCTCTGGTGCAATGAGAGGGCGTGGCCTCGGGCAGCTGTTCCCCAGGGCTGGGCACCTCTCTGTATAATTTTTGCGACCTTGTCCTTTGACGGAGTCGCCCCTGAGTGCACTCTGCCCAAAGACAGAGACGCAACTGAAATATGATAGACTTTAGATTTAAATATTTATTTATTCGGGAAATAATTTTTTTTTTTTACGAGAAATGTTAAAAAAAGAAAGAAGAAAATGTTAATTTATTTAAATATTATTAGGTTTTTTGAAAAGTAATGACTAGAAATATTTTAAAAACGTATTTAAGGTAAATTTATTTAAATATTATTGATAAAAAGGTAATACCTTTTATTTACAACAAATACAGTTCAACGCAATGGCAATTTTTCGATTCTACGTTTAAAATATCTGGATTCAACCTAAAAAATGTTTTAATACCTGTGTTCCTCTGTCTTTGTGAATGTGTTGCCACTTATGAAATATTCTAATGATGAAAACAAATGAAAATGTGTCTGTGCTAAATCTGGTGAGTATGGAGGATGTGAATAAACTATCATCCAAAGACGGATATGCAATTTGATAAGTCCTGACCTGGCATCTCGTCTACAATCACTTTCTCTGAGACATGATGTGGCTTCCCTCTGCCTTTTCTACAAATATTTTCATGGCAACTGATCTGACGAGCTACTTTCACTGGTACCCCAACTACATGAATTTAAGCGTGCTACTAGCTTGGCATCTCGGTCCCACCCTTTCACTGTCGAAACAGTTTAATGTAACCGCCTCTTCTACTCCAACAGCTTCTTCTTTCGCACTTCCCGACAGTGGAACTCCCTTCCTCTTACTTGCTTCGCTGGTAGCTATAATCTTCAAATATTCAAATGTAATGCCAATCGACATCTGGTGCCTTGATCTTGATCCCCGTCCTACTCTTTATCCTTTCCTTAAAGAATCATCTTTACTCTTAGTTTCACTCTCTGTAATCCCTTGTGTGCTAGTGGCACTCCCGCCTTGCTTAGGGTAAAATGCTTTAAAAATGCCTGTGCTAAATCTGATAAGTATGAAGGGTGTGAAATAATTTCTCATCATAGGGTCTTATTTTTTCTTGGATTTGTTTTATCAAGTTTCCTTGCATTGTCATACTGGAGAATAACACCTTTCCCGTCTACCAAAGCCGAACACTTTTGATGAAATGCTTCGTTTACCCAACCTAGCTGCTTGAAATAAACATGGGAATTGATCGTCCTTACACCTTCCAATTGCTCGTAATGGACGACACCGTTTATATTCCGTCAGGCACAAAACATGGACTTCTGTGAATGGAGACCTGATTATAGTTTTAGCACTGGTATCTCATTTTGCGATGACTAATTTTTCGTTTTCTGTTGAAATGCAAAACCCATTTTTCATCACATGTAACAATGTAATGCAAAATGAAAGATTGGTGTTCCTAGTTTAAAAAAAAACAAACAAAAAAAAAACACTGGTGCAGATGGTTCAACGTTGTGTTCGGTTCTCAATCGAAACTTCATGAGAAAACTAATTTCCCACATTTCAATTTTCCCCAATTCGTTTGAGATATTCGTAGAGAGTTGAACATGATACATTATTCTCCGCGTAAATGATTTGGTGCTTTGACGAGAGTGCACTTTAGTGGTCTCTTTCAAAATTCCTTTATTCCGAGTCGGTCATCTTACAGAGTATGCCATTTTCAAACCTTTTTAATCCCGGGTGATATGTACTGCATCCGTAAATAACTGCAGAAATGTTATTAAATGCCTCTGTAATTCATGCATGAACCAATAGCAAATTAAATTAAATTCGATAAACAACTCTATAAATACACTAGAAGCAATGAAATGTTGAATTTAAGAGCTGATAAACGAATACTAGTATTCAGTTCCATACCATTCAACCTTGCTTCTGCATTGGTTGCTTAACTCAGATTACCTAATGGGGAAATATGTATTATTAGTCAGACTAATAAACTGTGCAATGTCTTCTTTAAACCATTGTCAAACAATTTTCATCGTCTTTCAAATAATGTATATAGGTTTATATGTCTACGAAATTCTGGAGTCGGGGTACTGGATAATAAATAAATCAGCTAAGTGACAAAATTTTTCTATTGATCCTAAAGTTCCATATATGAAGTCATATAATTACATTTGCATTGAGAAAGGGACGAAACGCATTGATAAAAAAAAAGCTTTTTCGCTTATCTTTTATTTATATTGTCTGTACATATATATTTTATGTGCATCTGAATTTTTACACACACACACACACACACACAGACACAGACACAGACACACACACACACACACACACACATATATATATATATATATATATATATATATAGAAAGAGAGAGAGAGAGAGAGAGAGAGAGAGAGATTAAGAATCACATCTCCGGCATCCAGTGTCCAAACAGAACTATAAGTTTCATGCTTATATATATATATATATATATATATATATATATATTTAGTTGAATTGATCTGAGTTTCTAACTTTGGTTTCACGCTATTTGGTATCGTCAGACGATCGCAAATAGCGTGAAACCCAGGATCAAAAACCACATCAATCCAACTAAATATGTTAGCTCTATCACTGATATTGAGCACTTTCCAATACGTACCGCGCATATATAATATATAAATAATATATATGAAAATTGCATGTATATATATATATATATATATATATATATATATATATATATATATATATATATATATACTACAGTTCAAAAGTTTGAGGTCACCCTGGTAATTCCTCTTAAAACGACCCAAAATATAGTTGTTTTATATTTTAAATAAGAGAAAATTATTTACCTGGTTAAAAAACAAGTGGTACATGATTTTCTTATTATAAATTTTATTATAACATAAGAAAAAATATGATTTGATTTTTCTCTTCTATGTTTAAATACAATCTAATAATGATAGTCTGAAAAAAATTTCATGCAACAAAAACAGATTATTGCTTCGTCCGTGTATTGGTTGATATATTGAAAAGTAACTGTCATCTTTGATAATGGCTTATGTATGCCAAAAGCTTAGATTGGATTTAAACATGTATCAATATGGTGATTTCCTTTCGTCCTTCAATGATAATGTTATTGAACTTATCAGACAATATGAAAGGAACTCACTTAAAATAAATAGACGAAACTTGTCTATATTATTTAATGAAATATGTATCAATATATATATATATATATATATATATATATATATATGTGTGTGTGTGTGTGTGTGTGTGTGTGTGTGTGTGTGTGTGCGTGTGTGTGTGTGTGTGTGTGTGCTCCCGTACACAAAGGCTACTCTGAAAGTAATGCCTCCTGAATATCATGATGAACATCCCAAATTTTACTTGAAGTCTATTGATAATAACAGCATGTAGCTAAAGTGATCTGAGAGCCGTTGGTTCCTGAACAACCTCAGAAGGTGAAAATTTGAACCTTTCAAGGAATCCGTTAAAACAGGTTTTGTGTTGATTTATTCGATTATATCATGGAACAAAAATGCCGTTCGCTCACGGTTCGATAGATCAATTATCATGTCAGGTAAACACCATCGCGTTATTCGAATGCAAATCGGCTTTTGGAATAGTTAACAGATAGCTCAT